ATAATTTGGAGGGAGGGGGTTTGCATTCTCCATTTCAAAGAGAAGCTCCTGCCTTTCTCAGCAGACACCTGTCCTCCAAACCAGGACACCCTGCCTGGGCTCTGCACCCAGACCTGCCCCTGGGGCTCCCTGGGCTCAGGGCCATCCCCACACCCCCAGCCAGGAGCCTTTCTCCTGTTATTTTCATACCACACCTCTGCTTTCGTGGGTTTTTTCCCCCAAGAGGTGAATCCCTAATGATAGGAAGCAAAGCCAGGGGCATCACCTTGAGGATTCTAAAATGAGTCATCTGCCTGCATTTGTTGGTGAAATAACCCCATCCCTTTCTCCATTCTCTGCACTGTCCAGATAGCTGGCCTGAAGCTGGTTGGAGTTTTGTTCCTGTCACAACCAAAAAAAGATGAATTTTTGGAGAAGTGGCTGTGGCTCCACTCCACTGACTCCTGAAACTGCAGAGTTTGACTGGAACAGGAGAGCTGGAATCAAACCAATTTGGGAAAATAAGGAAATTAAGGGGAAAAAGGTCAAACTTCCCTTTAGAGGTTATTAACTTGTACCAGCTGTACTTGCAGGGCTACAAATCCAGGCTGCAGCAGCACCTGGGATCACCCCAAGCTCGCTGCTGCTGCTGCAGAGATGGAGATTTGTCGGCCCAGTGAAGCGTCAGCGCTCAAACAAACGAGCATTTATTGACCTTTGGGTGATTGAGACAGAATAAAAGGCAGAAACACTCCTGGAGCAGCACGGGGCTGTGCTGGGAGCCAGCCCTGAAGGTCACAGGGAACTCAGGGACTTGCTCCCAACTCCTGCCAGCACCCAAAGGCGCTGCCTGTCTGCACACTGCCCTCCTCACCCCTCTGCTTTGTCTCTGCAATGCAAGGACTGCCAGAATTTTGGGGGAAAGGCAAGGAAAAGGCAATCCTCCCATCCTGAAAGAGTTCCTGACCTGCTCTGGCAGGGGCCCAGACACGCCTGGAGGTGGCACCTGGGGATGGGGTGGGTGAATTTAAAGTCCCTTCCAAGCTCAGTGAGCAGGGATGGCAGGTGCCCAAAGCAGAGACAAGGGAAACACCCGCGGCAGCACCTTTGGAACTCCCAGATCCACGGTATGGACATGGAGAAAGGGGAAATGACTCCTTTAAACTGCCCATTTCTGAGGGAACAGCTGGGACAGGGCCAGTGACGCTGGGCTCCTGCAGTGCTGGACTGGTGCCCTGGCCAAACGTGAATAAATGAGTGAATGACAAACAAACGAGTGAATGACAAACAAACGAGTGAATAACAAATAAATGAGTGAATAACATACATGAATGAGTAAATAACACACATAAACAAGTTAATAGCATAAATGAGTGAATAACATACATAAATGAGTGAATAACAAATAAATGAGTGAATAACATATATAAAAAAGTTAATAACATACATGAGTGAATAACACATGAGTTAATAACATACATGAGTGAATAACAAATAAATGAGTAACATACATAAACGAGTGAATAACATACATAAATGAGTGAATTACTTACATAAATGAGTGGATAACATACATAAATGAGTGAATAACGTATAAACAAGTTAATAACATAAATGAGTGAATAATATACATAAATGACTGAATAACATACATAAACAAGTTAATAACATACATGAGTGAATAACATATA